ATATATATATATATATATATTATTTGATGTATTTATTGCAGAAAGCTAGACAAATGTATAGTTTATCCAAAGACAATTAGCTGCAAGCAGGGACTTTGTCTGAAAGAAATAAAATGCAACATCTCTAAACCTCAGCAGAGCAACTTTTGTGTCTTCTAGTCTTAAACTTGCCAAGAAAGCAAATGTGTTTGCATCCTGCAAATGTCAAAGGATTTCCAAAATCTTTTAAATGAGTAAAATTTGAGTCTGCAATGAATTTTAATAAATATTCTCCTTAAAATGTTTCATTATTATTATCAGCTATATTCTACAACCTAAGATGCTTCTGTTTACTGAATGATGTTCTTAATGAATGACTAATACATTCCCATTTAACTTTTAATTTATTCATTGTATTTTGTGCCCCAAAACATTTTCTAACAAAGTGTGGTACTATCTGCTCATCCTATAAAGTACAACACATTTTGCATATCAATTTGCTGATAGTCATCTTGTCATATTTGTCTCTCTAAACTGAACGCCCCAAACTTTACAGAGTAACGTGCACTAGACTAATGTTTGCTGAACAACCTGAGCAGAGAGAAAAACTGCTTGAAGGTGTGAACTGACTGACTTTCACTGAGCAGAGGAAATCTTATGATGCGTTCACCAAAGAGAGGCAGAAACGCACATAAACAAGTAGTTTGTTGCCAATCCTGAAAATTCATCATCCAAAATAGTTTAGTCTGTATAGAAAAATCTACACTTTGAGTCATATATGTTACATTCATCTGTAAAATTTAAATTTGTAAATAAAAAAAGTGGAAACATATCTTTTTGTGATACAAATGCACAGCTGCATTGAATCAGTTTGTTCATTTGATCATGTTAGAATTTGGTACCTTTTGCTTTTATTTATAGGTCATAATTTGTTTTGCAATTGTCAAACAATATCACAAAATCTTGAAACATTTATCTGCAGCGTTCAAGGATTTTTAAAAATCAAAGCTATGAATCTGTTTTGCAATTATATAAAGCTTCACCAAGAAAGTGTACTCAATGGTGTGCCAGCTATTTTATGTTTTACATTTGGTTTCTCAAGTTAACAAATAAACTTTTGTTGTTCCTATAGTTGCTGAGCCCTTCCAGACTCCTTCAAATATCTAACAGTGACACCAGCAGCAATCCTGCAAACTCTCTTCATGTACTTGCTTCTTCATCTGCCTCTGCGCCACCCTCGTCATCGACCTCCACAATTCACCAGCTCAACAGCAACATCTGGCAGATGTGCATCCAGCTGGAGGGAATCGCTTGCTTCGCTCAGGCGTTAGGACGGGACTTCCGTCCACTGCTGATGACCTCACTGTACCCAGTGTTGGAGAAAGCTGGAGATGAGACGCTGCTGGTCAGCCAGGCAGCACTGAGCTCCATGATGGACATCAGTAAGGCCTGTGGCTACGCCTCCCTGAAGGAGCTGATCAATGACAACTCAGACTACCTGCTCAATGACGTTTCACTCAACCTGCAGAGGCTCAGTCAACATCCTCAGGTACACACACACATGCAGAAATCACTTGAATGACCTCTGAATGAAGTCTGACATTTACAGAAGATAAAAATTTGTTGTTAAAGCTAAGGGAAGCGTAAAGCTAGGCAAAAGAAGCAAAACGCTAGCTGAAAGCTAAAGAAGCAAATGCTACCTAAAGACAGCAAAATTCTAGTTGTAAGCTAAAAGTAGAAAAAGGGCTAGCTTAAAGCTAAAAATAGCAATTCACTAGCCGAAAGCAGCAGAAGATTAGCTAAAAGTTAAAAGTAACAACAAGCTAGCTAAAAGTAGCCAAAGTTTAGTTAAAAGTGTTTTACAACGTGGTTAGACTAAGGAACCCATTCTGGATTTCAGGAGATCCAGGTGCACAGAGCTCTCTGCCCTTTGGATTAACAGAGAGGAGGTAGAGAGAGTAGCTTTAAGTTCCTCAGTGTGAACATCTCGGCTGGGCTGTCAACATCTATCAGGTGGGGAAGGTCCAGCAGAGAGATGTTCTACTTCCTTAAAGCAGACTCGCCTCCCTCACCTCCTGCTGGTGAACACTTACAGGGTCACAATCGAGTCCAACCTGCTGCACTGAGGAGGACAGGAGGGACCTGCAGCAGGTGGTGAGGGTGGCTGGTAAAATCATTTCCCTTACTCAGTGACATTTACACTGACGACTGCGGAGGAAGGCCACTAATATTGCAAAGGACCCGACTCACCCAGGACACACCCTTTTCTCCCTCCTCCCCTCGCAAGAGATACCAGACAATAAAATCCAGCACAAACAGACTGAAGCTCAGCTTCTGTCCTTAGACTGTGAAAGCTGACACCCCAGATCTACCCAGAACTCAGCCTGAACTGAAATTATGGAGCATAAATTTGCACAAACTGTTTGCTATTTATATGTACATTCTATCTTAGATATGTACTTCTATCTTAATGCTGTGTATTAATACTGTGAATTACTGCTGTGTCTTGCTTGTTGTGACTTGGCTTGAATTGCTGACGTGGAGGACACCAAACTGCATTTCACAGTTTTTAGTTTGTTTTTAACGATGCATTTTGCAGTGACAATGAATAAATATCTATTCTGTTATAAGCTGTCATTAAATGGGGTAGCTAAAGGCTAAAAGTATCAAAAGGCTAGTCAGAAGCCAAAGTAGTAAAGGGTTGGAAAGTAGCAAAAGTCTAATTAAATGTTAAAAGTATGAAAAGGTTTGCTAGAAGTAACAAAATGCTATTTAGAAGTTAATAAATGCAAAAGGCAAACTTAAAGATTAATGTAGTAAAACGCTAGCTAGTAGCATAATGATAGCTAAAATCTGAAAGTAGCTCAGTGCTAGCTAAATATAGCAATAACTTAAAGCTAAAGGCCATCTAAAAATGTCAGAATGGTAGCCAATGGCATAGGAAGACAGAAATATTGCATGTACCGTATTTGAAAACAGATTTCAAGGAGAACTGATTTTTAGAAGGAGCTGAAGAGATCCCAGTGCACATCTATGGGGAATTTTATTTTGGATAAAGTTAATTGTTCAAAAAGTATAAAAGTTACAAATATTCAAAATCGTATCACATTATTATTGATCAACTAAACATTTTGATATACAAAAAGTGCTTAAAATCGCACTAAGTATGCAAAAGTAGTTTTTTGGGAGGAAAAAACAAAAAAGAAACTATAAATTGGAAATATCCTGATGCATGCTCAATTTTGTTCAGGTTTATCAGCATTCAGTTATTGCACAAATTAGGGCTTTAGTGCATGTGTATTTGCTGGCCAGTCTTTCATCTTTTCCCGCCTGTGTGTCCAGGCTCCGCGGGTGTTGACAGTGATGTTGGCACACTCTGACAGCAGCCTCCTGCCTCTGATCCGGGACGTGGTTCAGGATGTGCTGATGGCTCTGGATCTCAGCTACAACCACTCAGCAGCTCTTTTCTGTTCTGTCCTGCACGCGCTCATGAAGGCTCTGGGTGAGATTTACAAATAAACGTCACACGTGCCTGGAGCAAATGACTCATTTTATACAGGCCCTTCTCTCAGACGATTAAATAATCTACTGTTGTGTTGATAATAGTCCAGATCAATTTCAATCTACAAGACAAGTCAGAGAAACTTTGTAACATTACTAATCATCCAACACCACTGAATTCTCCTGGGCTGGAGAAGTACAAGTTAAGAAAGTGTCAGAAAATGTTTCGTTTTTGTCGCGTTGTTTTTAAAAAAACCTTTTTTCTTTTTGAGCCGGTGTTCAACATGAATGTTTTTTTCTCTCTTCAGCAAGATGGTTTTCCTCGTCATGCTGCAGGACCAGTAACTCTGCCAGTTCCAAGACCTCCACTGAACAGGAAGATTTTGACATTCGCCAGTTTCTGCTGGATTACAGGAAGCAGAAGGAGTTGGCAGAGGGCATTGGGATAGAAGTGGATGACACCGAGGACCTTGGTAAAACAAAACTGCATGTCGTGTTTTATGGTGTAGAATATATTTGTAAATTAATATCCTGAGAATATAAGTTGTTGACACAACTGGGGCAACAAATACGTCATTTTGAGTTGATTCTGTGGGTTTCAACACCAAACTGTCCATTTAATTATATTTTTTATTTACTGTTGAATCAGAGGTTCCTCCTCCTGCAGAGTGTGATGAAGATCTTGATGGTCCTGATGTAAAACCAGAACTTCCCCCACACCTCATCATTACTAAAGACGTTATGGAGCGCTGCATTCACCTGCTGTCAGACCCCAACCTCAGGCTTCGACTGAAGGTAATCCACTGAGATTAAAAAGGGGAGCCAAGGAAGTTTGTTTTTTTTAGAATCATGAAACTTAAAGTTCACCTTTGAATAGTAGTCATTTTTAATTGATCATGTATACCGTAATTTCCAGACTATAGAGCGCACCTGAATTTAAGACGTGCACAGTAAATAAAAAAATACAAATAAAAAATTGTACATGTATAAATCGTGGGTGTTCACGTTGTGAGATATTTACACAGAAAGATTTTTTAAAAATCTTTTAATTAAATATGTACCGCTAACATACACAAATACATACAGTAAATGTTGTTTCTGAACAATGGCTGGTAATAAAAAAATAATAATAATAATAAACTGTAGTTTACCAGGAAAAGTTGCACATCCCTATGTTCATCTTCCTCCTGTGCACCAAAACCACTAAAGTCGTCTTCTTCAGCGTCAGACTTGAACAGCCTCAGAAAATCTTCATCACACACGTCCTCAGTCTCCTTTGTTGTCAAAAAAATAATAATACAGTAACCTACCAGGAAGTCATTGATCACTATCTTCATATTCCTCCTGCTGCAAGCTTGTGCTCCACAGAGCAAAAGTTGCTCTGCACATGCAGGGGAGTTCCCCCTTATTTGATCTGTGCATGGGGGGATTCCCCCCTCCGTTTCATTGGTTCGACTGTGACCTGTTCAGTAATTTCATTGATCAGATTTAATTTTTTTAACCTTTATTTATACAGGTTGTCTCATTGAGTCATGAGGACCCACCCCGCAAGAGGGTTGTGTCACCCAGGTGTGACGAAGCTAAATGTTTTTGGCAGCAGGAAGTTCATTAGCCCATGAGAAAAAAAAAATAAAAATCCATAAATTAACCGTAGCATTGTATAAGCTGCAGGTTTCAAAGCCTTTGAAAAAAGTAGCGGCTTATAGGCCGGAAATTACGGTATTTTTTTTTACTACGCTGTGATGACTTTCTGATAGCAACAAATCTTGCTTCATAATACAATTATGAGGTATTATCTAAATAAAAAAATGTAATGAATCCAGATGTGCCTGTTTTCCTCAGTTGTTTTGTATAAATTAGCAGGTTCCTTCATTAAGGTTTGCTTAGTGAGTTTAGTGCTGTTGTCTAGTTGCTAAGGACAGCACTCAGCAGTCATTTTTAACAAGTTAAAATTTAGCATTTAGCACAATCTTTTTATGACACACATCATTCTAATATGAGTTAATAAGCAAGCAGACCTCCAAACAAGCACCGTATCTTTTGCCATATAAGTCACACTTCGTCTCGCTCCAGAACTCCTGGAGCAAACGTCAAATCAGCTGCATTTTGCCGCATCGCCCAGGTGAAATGCAGCTGATTTGACCATTAAAGTGCATTTATTAAGGAAAAGTTCAACTGAGACACACCTTTACTATAATGTCGAGCAAACAAATAGTTGTTTTTATGTGTTTATCTTGTTAAATTTCAAAGAAATGCACAGCGAGTCGTCCCTCTGCGCGCTCCCTGCAACTGCGAATCAATATTTGAAATGCAGCTGATTTGATCGTCAAAGTGCATTTTTATTAAGGGAAAGTTAAGCTGAGACACACCTTTACTATAATTTCGAGCAAACAAATAATTAAGTTTTAATCTTGTTAAATTCTTGTTAAAGTCCTCCCGTGCACGCTCCCACAGCCGCCATTTGGCAGCCAATTATTATTTTTTTAAATAAATTTTATTAATTTAATTTAAAAACGTGACAATTAAAAAACAACTAAACACACTATATATATATATATATATATATATATATATATATATATATATATA